AATCTTTGCAAAGACGTCATGTAAATACCACCCTTTTATTTGTTCAATTATGTGCACATTGCTTGTTAAATGTATGAAAGTGATTGCAAGCCTTTGTTGTTTGTTTTCACAATTATAACCATTACTATTATCCATATGTTGTAAAGCGCCTTAGAGTAATTTTACAAATTATATAGGGCGCTATATAAATGCTGTATATTATTATTATTATTATTATTATTATGGAGCTGACACACATGATGTCGAACTGACACAGGAAATAAGGAACGTTCACTCTATTGCGACGATGTTTATGGCTATTTTCTGTATGTAGTTACTATTTTCAAATCAGCATTGCTGATTATTTCTAATACGTTCCAATACCGATAAGCATTTGAAAAACAATTCATATAATTTGTTTTGTTCATGCAGTTCAGAATCAGAACACACCGACCCAACTGATGAATCTGGACCTAAAGAGTAAGTACTGAGGGCTGTATTGGAGTGCTACGGGTACAATTAATTGACATAATTGTAGTGTTAATTTCAACTGAAAACATTTCAAACGACAGTCGTATGCTGTAATTTCGATAACCTACATAGTATAGAATTATTGATTTTCTAGTTTAACTACATGATTCCCTAGATAGCATAACCTATACAATACAATATGTTTTGTTTAATTTAGAGGACCTCTGCATTCAATACTTAAACAGGCCTTCAAATTATATTGCAGTAAATGGGGATGGGGATGGAGGGGGCGGGGGAACGATTTTTAAACACCATGCCAAAACAAACTTCTTATAAGTGCACACTAAATGCATCAGAAATCGGTCAATCGACTTGAACCAATGAAAGAGAAAAGAACAATATTTAAAAATCAGGAAAACCATAATTCGAACTCAAAATCGATAAATTGATGAAACAGTGGGCTGTGCCAGGATTGAATTTCGTATGTAATGTCGCGACGGAGTATAAATACATACATATTTTCGATTTCTGGAATCCTTTTCAACGTTGACGTTAGTGACTACCATAGGTGCCCACTATGTCAGAGAACAGTCAGAACGCGGTAGCAACAGGTAGGGTCGAGGCAACGGCGTCATTACATAAGACCCCAACTTAATCAAATGCGATGTCAACGCCGTTCGCAATTTTACCGTAGATATGTTTAAACATTAGGAAGAGTAGAATAACATGAGAACAATACCCACTCCGCCAGTAAACGGTAACGGTTGATAGCATCAATAACATGGGGGTAAAGGTAATGATTGCCGCACGGAGCGGACACACATGGTGTCGAACTGACACAGGAAATAAGGAACGTTCACTCTATTGCGACGATGTTTATGGCTATTTTCTGTATATAGTTTCTATTTTCAAATCAACATTGCTGATTATTTCTAATACGTTACAAAAGCATTTGAAAAACAATTCATATGATTTGTTTTGTTCATGCAGTTCAGAATCAGAACACACCGACCCAACTGATGAATCTGGACCTAAAGAGTAAGTACTGAGGGATGTATTGGAGTGCTACGGGTACAATTAATTGACATAATTGTAGTGTTAATTTCAACTGAAAACATTTCAAACGACAGTCGTATGCTGTAATTTCAATATCCTACATAGTATAGAATTATTGATTTTCTAGTTTAACTACATGATTCCCTAGATAGCATAACCTATACAATACAATATGTTTTGTTTAATTTAGAGGACCTCTGCATTCAATACTTAAACAGGCCTTCAAATTATATTGCAGTAAAGGGGGGGGGATGGAGGGGGGAACGATTTTTAAACACCATGCCTAAACAAACTTCTTATAAGTACACACTAACTGCATAACAAATCAGTCGATCGACTTGAACCAAAGATAGAGAAAAGAACAATATTTAAAAATCAGGAAAGCCATAATTCGAACTCAAAATCGATAAATCGATGACACAGTGGGCTGTACTAGGATTGAACTTCGTATGTAATGTCGCGACGGCAGTATAAATATGTACATATTTTCCATTTCTGGAATACTTTACAAAGTTGACGTAAGTGACTACAATAGGTGCCCACTATGTCAGAGAACAGTCAGAACGCGGAAGCGACAGGTAGGGTCGAGGCAATGGCCTCAAAAAAACATCAGACCCCAACTTAATCAAATGCGATGTCAACGCCGTTCGCAATGTTGCCGTATATATGTTTAAACATTAGGAAAAGTAGAATAACATGAGAACAATACCCACTCCGCCAGTAAACGGTTGATAGCATCAATAGCAAGGGGTTAGAGGTAATGATTGCCGCACGGAGCGGACACACATGGTGTCTAACTGACACAGGAAATAAAGAACGTTCACTCTATTGCAACGATGTTTATGGCTATTTTCTGTAGGTATGTATTTTCAAATCAGCATTGCTGATTATTTCTAATACGTTCCAATACCGATAAGAATTTGAAAGAAAATTCATACAATTTGTTTGTTCATGCAGTTCAGAATCAGAATACACCGACCCAACTGATGAATCTGGACCTAAAGAGTAAGTACTGAGGGATGTATTGGAGTGCTACGGGTACAAGTAATTGACATACTAGTAGTGTTAATTTCAACTGAAAACAATTCAAACGACAGTCGTATACTGCAATTTCAACGACCTACATAGTATACAATTATGAATTTCAATAACGTAACGCAGTTTTACAAAACAAAGAAAGTCAGGATATGTTCTTCACTGCACTTCAACCCTCCGAAGCGTAATTATGCACACACGCGCGTAGTAGCTCACTCACACCTGCCCACACTTATTGCTGTGTTGGCTTGCATTAACATTCAAGATAAGTCGCTTGCTTTAGTCACGTAGTATCAGGAAATATGCTTTGATGGACTGAAGATTCATTGTTATTATATTAAGTTACTCTTAATTTATGCAATATTTGTAAAACAGGAGTTCAAAACAAGTTTCGTCATGCTTAAAGGTATATAATCTGTTATAATCCCTTTTCTCATGACGACATCCCCTTAGAACTGATCTAGCAGTGGTTTACTCGCTGTCGTATGAAGCAGAAGAAAAAACAGACAATAATTAATTAAGGGCGCTAATTTTAAGACCTTGGAATTGTAACTCGGAAATGTGCCAACAACTTGAGGCCACCACCATGAAAAGTATTTCAGTGCAAACTGATCCAAAATCCTAACATTGCTGACGATAACTCGAGAATGCAACAGCATATGTGTATGTGTGCTGGAGCTGTATGATATTGGTTGAATTGCCTCCTTGTGATAGCGCGATACCGACTTCATAGTGCTTTCTCACTGAAATACCATGCCAAACGCTTCCAACACAGCATTACGCCCGGTCACATTATACACACAACGAGTGAACCAGTTATCCTAAATGATGAACATTAGGAGGGAATAACAACTACCATTTTTAATGAATTTGGTATGTCCTGGCGTGAGAAGCCAAAAGTGATGTATTGCCAAGCAAGGAGATAGGAAACAATGGGTAGTGAAAAGTAGAGAGAAATATTGCAATGGATGCAGCAAATTGAGTTTGGTCGCTTTTGTGCCCCCAACAGAGGGCAACAAAGCATATCCCCAATTTTGCAGGGGGTTCAAACATTAGTCGCCTCTTACAATACATGCAGTGGGTAACAAGAGGTGTATTCTTTTCTCGTTCCACGACCTGTAGGAGTACCTTTACAAAAATAATACAATATTTGTTTAATTTCCCTCCAGTATATCCGCTCGCCGTCTGGGTTTTTTAATCCTGAATGGAGATATATAAAGAAGTGGGCTGGCTAATTTTGTGTTTTATGCTATCATAATTTTTGTTTATTTATTAGTAACCCAGCAATGCATATATATGCCAAACTTACATTATGTTAAATGGATTTGTTTCAGATATCCAATGATCGAAGGAAATCTAGATAATGGAATAATTGTCCGATATCCGGAAAATTATAGATCACATTTTCCATACGTATCTCGTCCTCTCCAACTTCAATCGAGAAACACACAGTTGGCGGAACTGAAAAATACACTGGTTGGATCGAAATTAATTACAGATATGTTTGGTATATATGGCAAATCTGCTACAGTTGAGGACAAATTGGCCTCGATACTGTTCGCAGACAAATGTGAAGGTGACATACGAATCTCTGTAACTGTTAAAGCAAAGCTTTCGCCACACTTCCAATACTTTGCTTTCCTCAGAAGAAATGGAGATTGGGTGAAACTGCCCGTACAAATGGAGGTGAGGAATATTTATAAAGAATCTGTATATTTTTATCAATGAATTTTGGTTATTTCAATGCAACATGTTTTGTGATATTTTTTATCTTTCTTTTTTTTATAAAGGGTAATATCGCTGAATTCGAAGGAGGTACCTTTGATATTCTCTTTTTGACATCTACACCAATCATTGAAACGATCACACTGGGTCCCGAGGGAAAGGTGTTTACCTCTGATTACGACAAAAACATCAAGCTCATCTTTCCACGTAACTGTGTCTGGGACACAGAAATCTTACACGTTCAAGTAAGTACATTTATTTTATTTTTTGTTGTCAAATAATTTTACTTTTTTCAAAACTTCTACTGTCAGCTAACAGCATATATATGTTGACAGATAATCCCCTCAAGCAATAATGGCCCGATCTGCATGGATGATCAACCCTGCATTATTGGTGCAACCAAATCCATACATGTTGACCATAGAAAGGGGATATTCAAACAGCAAATAGAGATACACCTGGAACTCTGCCTTTTTGACAACTCCACTGACCCGGATCTGGCAAAATACAACTTTGTTGATGTGCATGCTGTCAACAAGCAGGAAGGAGAAATAGTTATGCGCCAACTACCCACTGAGAGCTACACACGAGTTGTCAGAGGATTTTCTCTGTGTATGAAAATAGACGACTTTGACAGGTATCATATTATTCACTCAGACACTCTGTACCTAGGAATATTATGAGCACACACTATTTTTTCCCCGCTGTAACGTTATGAACCCTTTGTGTCTATGGGGGACACATATTGCATTAAAGAGCAACACGGCGACATCTCTGCATACTGTAATTCTACAGAACCATAGATGTAAAGGTCAAAATAAAGGTGAATCATACCGACCCATTAGGCGTTTTGCAGAGTGACAGTAATTAAAATTTCAAGTGTTATAGATAGAACTTGCAATGCTACATACATTTACTTGTGATATCTAAGTGCAATTAAATTAATTCCAGTGTTGTGCAGTCAATTTGGTTTTTGATGTTGCGTTTTACATACCAGTTTTGAACTTGATGTAATTCCTTATGTGGTATTCCATTTAATGAGAATTATTAATTTTGTTTGCACAATGACAGCCACAGCATCCAACTTGGAATCCACGATAAGATGGTCACACAGACAGGGAAGCTGCGTGCTCGGATGGCACATGATGAGATTTTCCATTGCCACATTCTGGTGTTTATGTCAGAAAATATACATAATTATCAAGGGAAGAGTATCCGTGTCGAATGTGTTGAAAATAAAGATGTACAAAAAACTATTGACAAGCTGCATGCTATGAATTACGGCTTCATTGAGCTGACAAAATGTCGTTCACCGCCAATTTTTATCGAAGATGGTGAAAGGATACGGATTTCTTTACACGGTGGAATAAAGCTTCCCTGGGGATTTAGAAAAGACCAGATGATTATTTCATTTCTCCGTGAAGGCCTTCACACACACATTGTGTTTCCTGTGGTGACACAATTCGGAAACAGGCCCTCACACTTTGGTTACATTGACTTCGATCGAGCTGAGGGTCAAAAGGAAATGCTTTACCACACTTTCTTTGATGTCGACTTCCCATTCCCGGGTATGAGATTGGGTAGGTGGCATTAGAGTCAAACGATAACCGTTAGCGCATGTTGTAAGTCCATACGAACGTACATTTAATCCAATTGATATCTGGAATATTAATAAAAATTCAACGTGTTAAGAAAGGTTGGCAATGTAATGGATTATTTCGTTGCAAATCTATTCAAAATCCTGCTGCTATAATAACATAATCGATGTAACATAAACATGTATATATAAAAGCTGATAGATCACTTGGCTGCATTTTGTCATGAATGCATGCATTTTGTTTTAAAAGAAGCATAGACTATTTCTTTATTTGAATTTATAGAACCCGGTTCAGAAACTGCATCCCTATCATCAATGGAATTGAGTCCACAATTTACACGGTCAGCACAAGGAGGTCAGTATTAATCATTGAAAAGACAAACATTCCTCTTCTTGGACATGAGGTCAGTATTGAGCTAGATTTGTCATCAAACATTTTTAACACGAAGTAGTTGATGTGCGCGTTTTTGGGGAGTACATGTAACATTATCGATACCTTAAATGAGATCACGGAGAGATATGTGTTTATTTTGTGTAGAGAATCACATTTCATAATATAAAATATATGATACAATGTAAAATAAACATATTGTTTATATCACTGCTACCAAATAGCCTAACTGATTCATGTAGATTCATGAAAAAAAAAAATGTATTGAAGAGCTGACATGTATGAAAGAATAAGTTAATCACTAATTACAGAGATGAGTTAATATGCTACATTATTGATGTTTGAGTAAATGGCTTTGTGTATGGCCTATGCCTGTTACGCAATCCAGTTGATTGCTTAATCAATAGATATATTTAAAACAAATAATTGAATTTCTTTTATATAAGTAATTTCAGAAGCAACATCGTTGAAATCAATGATCGGATCAGGGTCTGATTCAGCAAGCTCATCAAAAGGTCAGTATTGTACCATAATAAGAAACTAGATTTCTTCTAAACACCGACATATGCGTTAATAAATTCAGCCTCGTTGATATATGGTTTACACAGAGAAATGTTTTCCGAAAGGATTACAAAGGGGTTCATGTATTATATTACAAAGATAGAAATATCAAGGCAATTCAATTGACCTATTTGTTATTATTTACGATTTTAAATGTATCCTATTTTATGACATCTTTTATTTTATATACCACGTCTTATGTTAAGCTTCCTTGCCAGAAGGACATACGTCCACGACAGCCAATATCATGCTCAAGATCAACAGTTCTCTATCGGAGATGCTCATCAATACTAACTGGAAATTCGTTTTGAGAGCAGTTTTTTTCAGTATGTAATTTCAATAATACAAACAAACATAACGTTTCAGTATGTATTGAATAAAATATGTTGTTATGTTGACTCAACGATGATATTGCTAAATCCCATCTAACGTCAATGACTTAACGCTAATAAGTACATTTTTGAAAACAATTCTTAGCAAATTACTTACTCTTATCGAATAAAAATGATGCGTTAAGACGTTTTGTTAAAGAGTTTATTTGTATTTTCCTTTACAATTGGCATGGTTTTGCTCAATAAAAAAACGTAAGGGTCTATTGCATTTGTTTGACATAACTGGTTGTATTTGTTTTTGCTGTTATGTTAATGTCAAAGAACTTGGATATTGCATTAACTCATTCAGGACTACGAGACTATCTAAAAGTATTTCTTAACGCATATCATGTGTATTATTTATCGTATTGCAAAAATGAATTCGATTTTCAGGTGACAGTGAGCTTGGTGCAGACAGCATAATCTCGGAAGCTGAGAAAAACAACAGTGGCAATGTGAGGGAGGCCATATACTCGGTATTGACGGCTTGGACTTACAAGACAAACCATAAAACGCCAAAAGAGATGTTTGATGCTATCATCCGAGGACTCAAAGAAGAAGACTTTGAACAAATCGCCCTTACATTGAAAGAAAGACATGAACGCGATGTTCAGTCATGATTCACAGATAAACGCTGGCCGTTTATAGAAAGATCAGTATAAATATGAATAGCGCCAATATGAAATTGAAACTAAAATACTTTTTATTACATGCATTAAGTTTTGAGAAATAATAGAAAAAATATGTTTCGTGAAACATAAAATTAGTTCGTCTTGGCTACAAGTTTTATGACATCATCAAATGAAAGGTATGTTTGTGTTAATATTGTTTTTGATGCATTCATTTGGTTAGATAGATAAGAGGAGGGACACTGGTACGTATAGCAAATACGTATATATATAGAATACCAGATAAGTGTTGGCTCGGCATCCTGTTCATCTTTTTTTAATTATGAAAGGTAATCCCAAATGTGATTCCGTACCAACTGATAATTCTATTTTTGTCTCTGTGGTCGACTTTGTTATATAATATTAATAATCCATAAATATATTATGTTCTCATTGTCCGATAGATATATGAACAGTTAAAACCTCAAAAACACGTAGATCTATAAAGCATCAGCGCTTTTATCCTCAATCTTCAGACGTTTTACGCATGGCTTTACATAGATACAAGTTATGACGTCTAAAATATATGGTTTAATGTATATTGTAATGGTACAAGCGTCTAAACACTGATAATGAAAGCGTTAATGCTTTATAGATCTGCGATTTTTTAACTTTCATATATATATATATGCAATTTAACTAACCATCGTGAATTGAGAAACTAGCGTATACCATATTATTATATCTTTGTTAGAAAAAAAAATAATTTTAACATGTTATTCTGTGTTTTTCACAAAACGGTACACATTGTAACTATGATGTAACAATACAATGCCATGTTCCTTTTCCGATCAGAGAAAATGACGTTTCTTGATCGTATGGTTTTTCAAATTAACATCAATAGAATGTTTCTCGTTCATTCGTTTTACATGTGAATTGAAACAAACATGTTTTTTTCTGTAATTTTGACAGCAATTAGGAATATGAAGAATGTTCATTTAACAGTTTAAAATGTATATTAACCTGCGTGATAAATTGATGAAAAGCTATACCATCATACGAATAATTTTCAGTATATATGCTTTTATTTTACTTTTCATCATTTAATAATGCAAGAGGAAGCTCAAACTATTTATAAAACCATAAAATAGGAAATGAACTCATCATTAACACAAATGACGCAATAGAATTGAAAAGCGTATAGATAGGTTAATCAGGGGAATCAACCTGGAATATCATTCACGTGATTTTATCTTGTGGCTTATTTTCCGTGTCATCATTCCGTATTTTTGTAAATTATAGTAAACGCCGGGTACATTGTAATATCTAGGAGTGACGATGGCATTTCAACCCAATACCAAGACGTTACTTGGAAAGTTTGTAATGTACTGTATAGTTATTTCAAGGGGCTAATATTTCATGGTTGTCCCGATCAGAACTCTTTCGTGGTGAATAAATTTCGCGCAATAACACTTAGTCAAAACTTTGTAGTCACTAGTTTTTCCAATACAGTTACAAGGCACACTCGGTCTGCAATTAAGCTTGATCAGAATGAGACAACCGTTCCGTCACGGACTTGTCTCATCAACAAATGAGCTTTGTTCACATTTCAATTAAAACATGTTGGAAAGTGAGTTGCTTTTTCTTAATTGTTTTATAACAACCCTGGTAGGAAAAGGTTTGAAATAAAATCGACTTGACACTGCCACATCATGAATATCTGGCTTGGTCTACTTGAGTATTCGGCAGTAAACATTAAAACATGTAAATGGATTAATTGTGTTTCTGTATAAATTAACGACGCTTTTTTAAAGCTACGGTAAAAATATTCGCTTGATTTTTAATTTCGCGGAATCTATCTTCAGTGAGAACATAGTGAAATTAAAACCCTTGCGAATAATAGCATCTGAATAGTACATCGGAAAACGAATTTCAGAAATAAAGCTTCCGATACAAAGACATACAGTTGTGTGATCGCACAATGCATTAAAATTACCTTGCACACATCAGGCATACATCGTGTATATACCATCCGCACATAGTGCGCAAAACTGTGCGATTTAACAATCGATCGCCCATTGTGCGATAAAACGCGTACATTTGTGCGATATGGTACGATAGGTGGATCGATGTAACGGAATGAAAAACTAATCTTGAAGACGCGAATAAAATGAGGCAAATTATACGTATTTAATATCCGATCGGTAAATTTTGCACTTTATCTAATTCTTCAATATTTGTTACACATTCTTGCAATGACTATAAAACAGTCAATAATTGAATTGTTCTATCAGGGATAAAAATGGTATACGTACGTAGTGTATCAGGTTGGGATGATTGTCGGTTACAGGTCATCGGTGATTTGACACTGATCAAAACACAACTGAACCTTACTTGTGTTAACTAATACTGTCAGGCTGTGTAATACAATTTCACACCTACTTCACGGTTGACTAGATACAAAACAGGTGCCCGTTACCAGGTAATTAACAGTTCACTATTATAACTGGTAACATGTAAGACTGCTTTGTTTACATTGTATTTGTGTGTACAGTACGTATATTTATGTAAATATACATAAAACTCCGCAAACAGGTTCTTATTTGAAGGGAGACAGCTACCTCCCAGAATCAAAATGTTGTGAATTGTAGATACAATACCTAACTACGTGTCCTGTATATTTGTTTTCTTCAGAACATCACATGTATCCATACAATTTCAATCAACACTTTGTATCATGTGTTTGTATATTTTGTTATAAAAAAAATAGTTGCTTGGTTATTTGGCAATATCATGTATCTTTGTTTTAATTGTTGATGAAGAAAGAGAACTAGTGAAAACTCAATTCATGTCCTAAATTGGGTCATTACCATTATATATTTAAGTTTTAACTGTTTCTACTGGTTACTTTCGAAAATCTGTCTTTAAGGATTAGCTTTACATTTAGCATAGGTTCATCAATAATTTAAAGCTGTCCGGTTGAAAACAACTGTTAACATATATATTGACTACATAAAATGTTACTGTTGCTAGTGTTTGTAATTTACTTTAACCTGTTATTATGCACAGAAAACTAAAGCTGATATTATTCTTATTTTATATCTTATATCTTTAACATCAGAACAAAAAACTATCAGGAATAAGGGTTAAAGGTCGGCAGTACACTTGTCAGGTACATAATTGGTAATTAGTAATTGTGGCAAGAGTTATAATGAACAATTGTAAATTAGCTAACCTTATGTTACCTTATGCTGTTGAGCAGCGTTTGTCGTCCGTCAATTTTTTCTTTTAAAACGTTCCGAGTATAACAGTGATAGGTGTTTTATATCTACAGGATCAGGTTTGTTTGTATAACAGTGATAGGTGTTTTATATCTACAGGATCAGGTTTGTTTGTATAACAGTGATAGGTGTTTTATATCTACAGGATCAGGTTTGTTTGTATAACAGTGATAGGTGTTTTATATCTACAGGATCAGGTTTGTTTGTATAACAGTGATAGGTGTTTTATATCTACAGGATCAGGTTTGTTTGTATAACAGTGATAGGTGTTTTATATCTACAGGATCAGGTTTGTTTGTATAACAGTGATAGGTGTTTTATATCTACAGGATCAGGTTTGTTTGTATAACAGTGATAGGTGTTTTATATCTACAGGATCAGGTTTGTTTGTATAACAGTGATAGGTGTTTTATATCTACAGGATCAGGTTTGTTTGTATAACAGTGATAGGTGTTTTATATCTACAGGATCAGGTTTGTTTGTATAACAGTGATAGGTGTTTTATATCTACAGGATCAGGTTTGTTTGTATAACAGTGATAGGTGTTTTATATCTACAGGATCAGGTTTGTTTGTATAACAGTGATAGGTGTTTTATATCTACAGGATCAGGTTTGTTTGTATAACAGTGATAGGTGTTTTATATCTACAGGATCAGGTTTGTTTGTATAACAGTGATAGGTGTTTTATATCTACAGGATCAGGTTTGTTTGTATAACAGTGATAGGTGTTTTATATCTACAGGATCAGGTTTGTTTGTATAACAGTGATAGGTGTTTTATATCTACAGGATCAGGTTTGTTTGTATAACAGTGATAGGTGTTTTATATCTACAGGATCAGGTTTGTTTGTATAACAGTGATAGGTGTTTTATATCTACAGGATCAGGTTTGTTTGTATAACAGTGATAGGTGTTTTATATCTACAGGATCAGGTTTGTTTGTATAACAGTGATAGGTGTTTTATATCTACAGGATCAGGTTTGTTTGTATAACAGTGATAGGTGTTTTATATCTACAGGATCAGGTTTGTTTGTATAACAGTGATAGGTGTTTTATATCTACAGGATCAGGTTTGTTTGTATAACAGTGATAGGTGTTTTATATCTACAGGATCAGGTTTGTTTGTATAACAGTGATAGGTGTTTTATATCTACAGGATCAGGTTTGTTTGTATAACAGTGATAGGTGTTTTATATCTACAGGATCAGGTTTGTTTGTATAACAGTGATAGGTGTTTTATATCTACAGGATCAGGTTTGTTTGTATAACAGTGATAGGTGTTTTATATCTACAGGATCAGGTTTGTTTGTATAACAGTGATAGGTGTTTTATATCTACAGGATCAGGTTTGTTTGTATAACAGTGATAGGTGTTTTATATCTACAGGATCAGGTTTGTTTGTATAACAGTGATAGGTGTTTTATATCTACAGGATCAGGTTTGTTTGTATAACAGTGATAGGTGTTTTATATCTACAGGATCAGGTTTGTTTGTATAACAGTGATAGGTGTTTTATATCTACAGGATCAGGTTTGTTTGTATAACAGTGATAGGTGTTTTATATCTACAGGATCAGGTTTGTTTGTATAACAGTGATAGGTGTTTTATATCTACAGGATCAGGTTTGTTTGTATAACAGTGATAGGTGTTTTATATCTACAGGATCAGGTTTGTTTGTATAACAGTGATAGGTGTTTTATATCTACAGGATCAGGTTTGTTTGTATAACAGTGATAGGTGTTTTATATCTACAGGATCAGGTTTGTTTGTATAACAGTGATAGGTGTTTTATATCTACAGGATCAGGTTTGTTTGTATAACAGTGATAGGTGTTTTATATCTACAGGATCAGGTTTGTTTGTATAACAGTGATAGGTGTTTTATATCTACAGGATCAGGTTTGTTTGTATAACAGTGATAGGTGTTTTATATCTACAGGATCAGTTTTTTTTTGTATAACAGTGATAGGTGTTTTATATCTACAGGATCAGGTTTGTTTGTATAACAGTGATAGGTGTTTTATATCTACAGGATCAGGTTTGTTTGTATAACAGTGATAGATGTTTTATATCTACAGTGTATGTATTTCTTTTTACTAATCCAATTAAGTTTAATTGCCATAACAAAATGTATATTATGTTAAGGTAAAATTTTAACAAAACACCTTTCATAATTATTAATGTACAATGAAAAACCTGTGTATTTTTTAATCATTAAAAATATAGATGTATTCGAATTTTGATTGGAAATTAAATAAAAAGTTTGCATATTATTTTAACAAAAATCACAAGAACACGCTGACGTCACCCGCTCCATTCCCAAATGTTCATTGTCACATGCATGCAATAAAATAATAAAAACACTGAAGCGCACAAAGTACGTCTTTGTGTAGGTCTTATACAACATATGCAACTTGCATTAATTAGAGCAACCCCAGCTTCTTAACCTGAAATCTGCACAGAAATTTAAGCGTGAAAAGTAGGTAAAATACATTATCTGCAACCTGCGTTCACTGGATATACAATCTGTGTGACATCAAAGATTTCATTATGCAGACTGCGCATTTCTCCAGTACCTGAAAACTTCCAGGTTTCGAAGCGTGGAGTTAGGTTAAGCACAGAATCTTCAACCTGCATTAAAAAGAGCAAACCCAACTACATCGGTGATCGCTAATAGTTTCGAAGATATGAACTGTGCAATTCTTTTAAACCTTTCACGGGCAGACGGAAACGCACGTTCTGACGGTCGGAGCCCGCTTCAATATCCTCCACCAGCTTTATTTAGCGGGGTATAAAAATATATAATTTGTTTTGACATCGTTGAAACAGAAAACAAATTCTACATGTGATGGGGTTACTCAAATAAAAATTCACCTACATTAAGCCATCCGGTTATTGAAACAGAAAATAAAACCCGTATTATGTTATTTGATGATTTATACAGACAGTCAAACCTGAATTGTTCACACAGAAAGCAAAACCGTTATTAGGTTATTAGGTTATTCCAATGGAAAGCAAAAACCTGTATCGATTGGGATGTTAAATTAGAAAGAGAAACTCGCAGTATGATAAAAGTTTATTCCAACTTGCATGTTATTGGGTTATATAAAAAGGACATAAAAGCATACACGTTATGGATTTAATTGTAAAAAAAAAAGTTTTCTAATAATGTATTTGTTGTTGCGATAAATGTTACATTTTTTGTGAAATATTTTTATCACAGGGTTTTCCTGAGAGTTTCTTGGTTTTAAATTGACAATTGTAAACTATCAACGTAAACAATTTTTGTAATGTTTTCTTTTATAATGAGAACTCTTAAGCCAGAGTTTCCTGTGTTTCCTCATGAAGTCCGGCCAGTTTTGCATCAAATATTTGTTTTTGTGTTTTCCTTTGCATCTGGTGATCGGTCCATGACATCAAAGTTTCAAAGATCGCCTCTCTTATACTACCAGGATTGTTTTTCTCTGCTTCCTTCAGAAGTTTGACTCCACCCGTGAGACATGTAGCACAAACAATTCAATTTTAAATAGATGGACGTACAGTGATTTTATAATAGTCCCTTTTCACACTGTTTGTCTCGCATTACTATTCGAGTTACTCCCCTTGGAACACAAACGATTACGAGGCTTAGGGTACTTCCGGTGACCAAGATTTTGCAGGCGATACTGGGAGACACGGTCTAGTTTTCCGAAGACTGAGCCAGTGATGTATGTATTCTGTTTGATATGAATGCCGATGTTCTAGATATTTGTGTCTATAATTTTAAAAAATCGCAATAAATGAACGAACACCGCTGTCACATTGAACAGTCGAAGTCTGACACCAGACCGTCCTACAGCAGTACAGCTGGCTACAATGTAGATCTACATGGATTTAACGCTATTTATAGAACCAAATCCCTGTGGTTCAAGGCGGTTTCAATTTGTTTTTTCGAGTAGATGGTTTTGTACTCATATTTTTAAAATGCATTTTGTGTAAATAAATATTTGAATCATTACTCTGTTGTGTCATGCAGTACCCCCCTATAGCTATGTACAGTAAACAGTAACCAACAGGCTAGGCCCTCACGCATTCACGCTCGGATCCAGGTCGTTTCGCCCTATAACGTTCCCCAGACAGAACCCTGTATTAGTGTATTTGCGTAATTCCTTTATATGTTATGGTTGAATGGACTTCAAATATACTTGTACTATACTATATAATAACAATTTCAATGACAAAGGTAAAATTCAAAATGAATATTGTTTTTATATAGGAAAGTGAAAGTAGATTTAAAGTCCTTTCAACCATAACACTGGCATTCAGTAGACCCTCGAGAGTGTTTTTGACTCTCCAAAATTAGCTTTGACTCTTGCCGGTCTTCAGTAATAATAATAATATGTATTCAGGTAAAAAGGCAATATAGTTATATATATAATTTGACTGGCGTATAAAAAGTACAAAGTTGCAACATTTTCACATCTGGTAATTTGTGGTGTTTTTTTCTTTCAGTATTCATCATGAATGTTTTTAAGAACAAAATTTCCAGAGGCAAGGAATGCTGTGTGGCATTGTGTGCAAACAAGGAGTATCTGATGGATGGAACCAGATCACCTGTTCATTTTTTTCAT